GGAGAGAGAGAGCGCTGGAGTGAGGGAGAGGGAGAGAGAGAGGGAGGGCGTTGGAGTGAGGAAGGGAGAGAGAGAGAGAGAGAGGGTGAGGGAGAGAGGGAGAGAAAATAATGTAAAGAAATAGAGAGAAAAGGTACGATATTTCAAGCTGTGGGTGCGACCTTTTATGTCTTGGCGGGACTTCGTCGCAAATTGAGTGTTGCCGGCAGGGCGAACTGACTTCATAGCGGGGCGTCGCGAGTGAGCGGATCGATACCGGCTTTTACGAGGCCCCGTCTGTCAACGAGATGACGGCAAGTACCAGAATCGCGCCAATAATGACACCACATATATCCGTGTTATCGGCATAGCACCCAGCTCAAATGGCCGACAGATGAGCTGGAGCCGTTTGCTAATGTTCATCACTTCCTCCCGCAGTGAAAGCGATAATATGGCTGCGTCTTGCAATAATAATAATATATAGTATATATTTAGGTAATGTACATCAAATAATATATAGTTAGGTAACAAATATAGAAATATCGATAGGTAATAGAAACACGAACCATAATAACTACTGAATGGAGAAGTGAGTGTTCGTATTACAAAATGTCGCATGCACTGGTTGTCAGGTCAAAAGGCGTGATCATCTGCCAGCCCGCTGACCGACTCGCCTTACAACTCACTGGGGAATCGCACCATCAGAGTTCCGACTCAGCACAGCATGGTTAGTGATATGTTTGATGACGTCATGCCATCGTACTGCTGAGTCGTGAATCATAGCAATTTTGAATTTATTTTTCACAATTTTGAGCAATGTATTGCATGATTTCGTAAAAAAGATATGTAAGTTCATCGGTAATAAATTCCTCTCTTTTTCTCTCCTCCTCTCTCTCTCCCTCTCTCTCTCTCTCTCTCTCTCTCTCTGCTTTTCCTTGACAATGCCTGTATTCCTCCGCGTCGTTTCAGCAGCCAGGCCGCTCACTCTTCAGGTCCTCCCCTCGTTCCCATTCTCTGGGAGGTGAAGACGCCCATGCCGCCCCGCCTTCCCAGCTTCTGGCGGCAAAAATACGCAGCCGACACCGGTCGGCGACCATTGTGAGCATGCCTGGCATAGCCAGCGTGCATCCCTTCTAATTAAAGGCGTTTGTTCGGGGGCGCGCGGTGCCGCCCGCCGTCCGTAATTGGGCCATTGTCGCCCTCCGCGCGGCCCGATGACGCCGGATGACCGATGACGTCGGATGACGCCGGGATGACGGGCCGTCACTGGGCGGCGACACCGGGACGGCGCGGCGTAATCTGCCGTGTTGCCTGGTCGGCCGCCAGCCTGTGGCGGAACTCGAGGCGACTTCTCGGGTCGGGCCTTCCAAGATGAGGAAACCGGATCAGTGGGTGGATAAAAGCTGATTCTTGTCGTGTTTTTAGGAGAGTGGAATTCCTGGCTCACATAAAAAGCCTGCTCTGACCTAAATTGACAGCCTTAAAACCATTCCATTAATCAGACCTTTTATCAACGTACTTAACGGCCGGAGATTTGTAAACAAGTAGTCAATTCACCTGTTGTTTTTTCGTCCGTTCGGTGTCATTCGTAAACCATTATGACGTTCTAATTTGCTTCTCCAATGCACAATTCAAGTTTTCCATAGGAAAATAACCCTTCACCGGATTCAAAGTGACTGCAACTCAGGGGCGGCGCAGCATTGGTGGAAGGCGCAGAAGGTCAGTTGCCTCTGCTGGCAGGCAGGCAGGCAGCAAAAGCATGCTTTTGCCCCCCTCCCCTACAAGTTTTGGGAGATTCCGTTTGATAGAGCGATAGCCTTTTGTACCTAGGCATATATGATCAAAATTCATATAAAATAGGGCACCATACCTAACCCAGGGGTGCCAAGTCAGACTCATGTCTTCATCTTCATCTGTGCCGGGCAAGGGAGTCTTTTTATTGGAGCATACCTATGGAGCATATGCAGGTGTAATGTGACCCGTTCGATATTCAGACGCCTAGCCCTTGCATGCCTGTCACATGCGAATGTGGTCAATGGCAATATGAGAAAGCACACGCGTTGGCAATTTAAGCATCATTGGTTTGCTTCCTGTGGTCAACATCGATATTTTTCTCATGCGCGCGCTACCAGCGCTGTAACTGCACCCAATCGCCCCTTATGGTCCCTGGGTAGGATCAGAGATGTGACGGTAAGGTTGAGGGGGATGCCCGGACCCTCCATCAGTTTCCAACTTTGGTTAATGGACCTATGGCGATGCATGGGAAGAACTGCAATGAAAAACTCCAAAGCTGCTGTTGAAATCTGCGTCGCCGGCGATTTTTGAAAGGGACAGCCCGACCTTCAGATTTTCCGATCGGAAAGCATACAACTCTTTTGGGCCGGCGCACCAGCACGTCTCTTCAAAACGCTACGCATTCTGTTCAGAAAACCTGGCGGTGCACATGGTGAAAAGGACCTGCTGGATGTCGCTTCCGCGTGCGCCGATCCGTCACTGCAGCGGCGGTGTCGCGTCTGACGTCACACGTCCGGGTGTCATCGGTTGGCGCATCCTCCGCCAGTTAGTCATCCGTTTTCTGCGACCGATCAAACGTGAGGCGGCCATTCGTCGTGTCCGTTTACAGTGCACGTCTTGCGGGCTAAGTGGACGGGATGCAGGTCTGGCTCCTGTTCACGTGTTTGTTCTACGTGGGTTAACTCGACAGACGAACGTTTTGAGTTAGCGCAGAACGACGCATGACGCATGGGTGAGGGCGTGGAGGTTAACCAAACGGGCCTTGTGCTATTTTTGGTACTGTTAGTTCGTTGCTGGGACAGTTCCAGCATCTGACTAAGCGTGAGTGGCCATGCAGCTTGGGGCGGGTATATATGGGAAAGATGACTCCCATACTAAGGAGAGCCTAAGCTCCTAAGCTCCTTACACATCTCACACATAAGGCCATCCTCTTTTCTGAGCCGCGCATACACCCTTCCGCAGATTGTGGTCAAATCCAGACGCTCATAAAATGATTGGATTGG